CAAGCAATGTCATCACTGGGTCTCTGTGCTTCTCTATGCAATGCAGGCAGATCATGACTGGTGGGTGGGGGGTCGTCATCACTGGGCCAATGTACCTCTCTAAGCAGTGAAGGCCGCTCATCGCTGGTGGGAGGGGATGTCATCACTGGACCTTTGTGCACCTCTATGCAATGCAGGCAGATCATGACTGGTGGGAGGGGCCGTCAGCACTGGGCTTCTGTGCTTCTCTATGTAATGAAGGTAGCTAATGGCTGGTGGGAGGAACTGTCATTACTGAGCCTCTGTGTGTCTCTATGCAATGCAGGTAGATCAAAGCTGGTGGTAGGGGCTGTCATCACTGATGTCATCACTGAGCCTCTGTGCTTCTTTATGGAATGCAAGTAGATCAAGGCTGGTGGGAGGGGCTGTCATCACTGGACTTCTGTGCTTCTCTTTGCAATAAGGGCAGCTCATGGCTGGTGGGAGGGGCCTTCATCACGAATGTCATCACTGGACCTCTGTGCTTCTCTAAGCAAAGAAGGCAGCTCATGGCTGGTGGGAGGGGCTGAGCCTCTGTGTGTCTCTATGCAATGCAGGTAGATCAAAGCTGGTGGTAGGGGCTGTCATCACTAATGTCATCACTGAGCCTCTGTGCTTCTTTATGGAATGCAAGTAGATCAAGGCTGGTGGGAGGGGCTGTCATCACTGGACTTCTGTGCTTCTCTTTGCAATAAGGGCAGCTCATGGCTGGTCGGAGGGGCCTTCATCACGAATGTCATCACTGGACCTCTGTGCTTCTCTAAGCAAAGAAGGCAGCTCATGGCTGGTGGGAGGGGCTGTCATCACTGATTTCATCACTGGGTCTCTTTGCTTCTCTATGCAATGAAAGCAGCTCATGACTGCTGGGAGGGGCCAGCAGGGTGCTGTACATAGCTTCCTGAAAACATCACAGCACCCTGCCCCCCTCTGTATTCCTCTAGAGAGCCCTGATACAAGCAGTGGCCTGGCTTTTGGAAGGAGTTTTAGTATCTCCCAGAAGTGACTCCACCCCTCACATTTTTGTAAATATTTGATTCTAACTTTTTATGTGACAACACTGAAGAAATGACACTTTGCTACAATGTGACGTAGTGAGTGTACAGCTTGTATAACATGTAAATTTGCTGCCCCCTCAAAATAACTCAACACACAGCCATTAATGTCTAAACCGCTGGCAACAAAAGTGAGTCCACCCCTAAGTGACAATGTCCAAATTGGGCCCAAAATGTCAATATTTTGTGTGGCCACCACTATTTTCCAGCACTGCTTAACCCTCTTGGGCATGGAGTTCACCAGAGCTTCACAGGTTGCCACTGGAGTCCTCTTCCACTCCTCCATGATGACATAAACGGAGCTGGTGGATGTTGGAGACCTTGCGCTCCTCCACCTTCCATTTGAGGATGCCCAGATGCTCAGTAGGGTTTAGGTCTGGAGACATGCTTGGCCAGTCCATCACCTTTACCCTCAGCTTCTTTAGCAAGGCAGTGGTAGTCTTGGAGGTGTGTTTGGGGTCGTTATGTTGGAATACTGCCCTGTGGCCCAGTCTCTGAAGGGAGGGGATCATGCTCTGCTTCAGTATGTTACAGTACATGTTGGTGTTCATGGTTCCCTCAATGAACTGTAGCTCCCCAGTGCCGGCAGCACTCATGCAGCCTCAGCCATGACACTCCCACCACCATGCTTGACTGTAGGACTGTAACCTCCTCACCTGGTTGCTGCCACACACGCTTGACACCATCTGAACCAAATCAGTTTCTCTTGGTGTCATCAGACCACAGTACATGGTTCCAGTAATCCATGTCCTTGGTCTGCTTGTCTTCAGCAAACTGTTTGCGGACTTTCTTGTGCATCATCTTTTAGAAGAGGCTTCCTTCTGGGACAACAACCATACAGACCAATTTGATGCAGTGTGCGGCGTATATGGTCTGAGCACTGATAGGCTGACCCCCCCACCCCTTCAACCTCTGCAGCAATGCTGGCAGCACTCCTATGTCTATTTCCCAAAGACGACCTCTGGATATGACGCTGAGCACGTGCACTCAACTTCTTTGGTGGACCATGGCAAGGCCTGTTCTGAGTGGAACCTGTCCGCTGTATGGTCTTGGCTGCCGTGCTGCAGCTCAGTTTCAGGGTCTTGGCAATGAGGAAATGAGGTGGACTCTGACTTGCCACAGCTTCAAATGCACATTGTGAGAAGCTGACAGTGTGCTGTGAAATCGGAGTAAGCCATTTCAGTCCAGTAGAGGAGCCAGTACATAGGGGAGTCTGGAGGGAGGATTTAGTTAGGAACGTTTTCGCACTTGAATATTCAGTTGCAGTGCGTTACAGCATGTATGGTGATGTGAAGTATGTGGTGTGTCGTGGTGGCGCACAGTTACCATGCCTTACTACATAGGAGTGAAGCCAGTGTACTGCATAATCCATGGCCGCATTTGCGGCATTTTTTCTAGGTGCAATGGAAGTGCATTCTGGGCCATTCCAGTGGCAGTTGAGTTGGTCACACTTGCACTGTCTGGGATTGGTTCCTTATTTAGCTCTGTAGAGTGTCTATGAATGTCTCCATTCAGCTCGGAGTCCCGGGGCCCCTCTGAATGAGGCTTTTCATTTCAGTGTGGATGAAGGCGAAGGATCTCCGTCATGGAGGGGGGGGGGGGGATTCTTCTCTATATTGGATTCACCCTCTATCTGTGTCTGCAGGCCTTCATGAGACCCTTGTAACCCTCTCGCTGCTGGAAAGATGAGCCCAACATTCTAAGGGAAAGAAAAGTTAACATTCCACTGCCACGAATAATACAGTATTCTGGTTATTGTATGGCCACCTTTCTCAACCTGTTTTAACATGGAGGAATCCTTTAAATAACTTTCTGGGCTCAGGGGACCCTTCTAATAACGACAATTCATGTTACATTAGTCTAGTGGTCATTTGGAAGAATTCCCCTTACATTGGTGGCCAGTGGGAAGAATGCCCCTTACATTGGTGGCCAGTGGGAAGAATGCCCCTTTATATTAGTGGTCAACGCCCCTGCATGACTGTGCTCCTGTGTTTTATAGCCAGCTCCATAAAGACATGGTTTGACCAGTTTGGTGTTGAGGAACTTGTCCTGCACAGATCTCTGACCTCAACTTCAGGAAGGCAAATTGTGATCCAGGTCTTCTCATCCAACTTCAGTACCTGACCTCATAAAGTGGCACAAATTTGTTCGGTTTGTTCGGTGTGGAGGGGCTCAATTGTCTTGCACAGAGCTCTGACCTCAACTCTACTGAACAGTCCCGTCTTTTGAACGCACTCCAAAGCCTTGTGGAAAGCCTTGTTAGATGAGTGGAGCTGGTATAGCTGAAAAAGGGGAGGGGGGGACAGCAGCTCCAAATGAATGCCCATGGTTTTGGAATGGGATGTCCAACAAGTTCTTATTAATGGTGCAATGGTCAGGTGTGGTGTATTTTGAGCTTTCTGAGTTTACAGGTAATATTTCAGCACAAATTATTATTTTTTTTTTTAGACAATTGTGCACTTCCAACGTTGCGGCTACAGTTTGGAGAAGGCCCTATTTCTGTTCCAAACATTACCGTGTCCCTGTGTACAAAGCCAGCTCCATACAGACATGGTTTGACATGTTTGGTTTTGAGGAACTTAAGTGTACTCCACAAAACCCTGCCTTATACCCTACTGAACACCTTTGGGATCAGGTCTTCTCACCCAATATCAGTACCTGACCTGAACCCTACTGACACCTTTGGGATTAGGTCTTCTCATCCAACATCAGTACCTGACCTCAACCCTACTGATCATCTTTTGAGATCAGGTGTCAGGGCTCCCAGGTGTGACCAGAGGTGTGTGACTGACGCAGGGAACGCAGACTTCAGATATGTGATAAACAATATAATTTATTAACACTAACAATACAAACATAAACACAGTGCAATACTAAACATAATACAGTGCAAACAAACCAAACCAACCACCCACAGATAACAGTACATACAAGCAAGCGTCGTCAGGCAGGCCGGGTCAATATCAATTGGGCAGGTAGGTACAGGGGGAGCAAGCGGAGATTGGTCGGGGTCACAGGCCAGGTTCAGCAGGTAGCTAGCAGCGTAGTACAGAGGGTCAGGCAGAGGGATGGTCAGGGTCACAAGCCAGGGATCAGAACAGGTAGCAGGCAGCGTAGTACAGAGGGTCAGGCAGAGGGATGGTCAGGGTCACAAGCCAGGGATCAGAACAGGTAGCAGGCAGCGTAGTACAGAGGGTCAGGCAGAGGGATGGTCAGACAAGCCAGGGATCAGAGCAGGGTCAGCAGAGAATCAGACAGGAACAGAGAGCAGGAACAGGATACAGGGCCCAAGAGAAACACAACACCAAGGCAGAGTCTGCAAGTCTGGCCATCCCTTAAATACCCCAGCATAATCAGTTCCAGGTGTTAGCTGGCTGCAAAGTTGAGTCTCTGATTGCTGGGAGCACCCGCTGGCCAGCCCTGGTACTGCAGATCAAAAGGCAGGTGAGTCCCACCATTGCTGGCTAGTCCATTCCTGACAGTACCCCCCCCCCCCTCAAGGAGCGGCCTCAGGACGCTCCAAACAGTCCTAGCTGGGCAAAATGTTCCACCGCCTGGGTCTGGTAACTGGCGGGATATCAAAGACTGGCACACCGGGCAGGACTCCGGGCAGCGGCACACCGGGCAGCGGCACACCGGGCAGGACTCCGGGCAGAGGCACACCGGGCAGGACTCCGGGCAGAGGCACACCGGGCAGGACTCCGGGCAGAGGCACACCGGGCAGGACTCCGGGCAGAGGCACATCGGGCTGGACTCCGGGCAGAGGCACATCGGGCTGGACTCCGGGCAGAGGCACATCGGGCTGGACTCCGGGCAGAGGCACATCGGGCTGGACTCCGGGCAGAGGCACATCGGGCTGGACTCCGGGCAGAGGCACATCGGATTACCGGGCGGGGCGGCGGGCACCGGGCCCCCCGGGCGGGGCGGCGGGCACCGGGCCCCCCAGGCGGGGCGGCGGGCACCGGGCCCCCCAGGCGGGGCGACGGGCACCGGGCCCCCCAGGCGGGGCGACGGCATCGGGCCCCCAGGAGGGGCGACGGGCATCGGGCCCCCAGGAGGGGCGACGGGTCTCGGGCCCTCAGGCGGAGCGGCGGGCGCCGGACTCCCAGATGGAGTGACAGGTCTCGGGCCCCCAGGCGGAGTGACAGGTCTCGGGCCCTCAGGCGGAGCGGCGGGCGCCGGACCCCCAGGTGGAGCGACAGGTCTCGGGCCCTCAGGCGGAGCGGCGGGCGCCGGACCCCAGGTGGAGCGACAGGTCTCGGGCCCTCAGGCGGAGCGGCGGGCGCCGGACCCCCAGGCGGAGCGACAGGTCTCGGGCCCTCAGGCGGAGCGGCGGGCGCCGGACCCCCAGATGGAGCAACAGGTCTCGGGCCCTCAGGCGGAGCGGCGGGCGCCGGACCCCCAGGCGGAGCGACAGGTCTCGGGCCCTCAGGCGGAGCGACAGGTCTCGGGCCCTCAGGCGGGCGCGGCGGGCACCGGACCCCCAGGCGGAGCGACAGGTCTCGGGCCCCCAGGCGGAGCGACAGGTCTCGGGCCCTCAGGCGGAGCGGCGGGTGCCGGACCCCCAGATGGAGCGACAGGTCTCGGGCCCTCAGGCGGAGCGGCGGGCGCCGGACCCCCAGGTGGAGCAACAGGTCTCGGGCCCTCAGGCGGAGCGGCGGGCGCCGGATCCCCAGGTGGAGCGACAGGTCTCGGGCCCCCGGGCGGAGCAACAGGTCTCGGGCCCCGAGACGAAGCGGCGGGCACCGAGTCGTCTGGCAAGACTGCGGGCACCGAGTCGTCTGGCAAGACTGCGGGCACCGAGTCGTCTGGCAAGACTGCGGGCACCGAGTCGTCTGGCAAGACTGCGGGCACCGAGTCGTCTGGCAAGACTGCGGGCACCGAGTCAACAGGTATCGGATTGTCTGGCTCGACAGCGGGCATCGGGTCACCAGGCATGACAGCGGGCACTGGGTCACCAGGCATCAGGTCATTTGGCTTGCCAGCGGGCACCGCGTCATCTGGCAAGGCAGTGGGCACCGGGTCACCAGGTATGACAGCGGGCTCTGAGTCAATTGGCACGACAGCGGGCACTGGATCAGGTACCGGATCATCTGGATCAACAGCGGGCATCGAGTCAACTGGCCTAATAGGATCGTCGGGCTGGATCAGTTCATCATGCTGAGTAGCGGCATCAGGCCGAGTAGCGGCATCAGGCCGAGTAGCGGCATCAGGCCGAGTAGCGGCATCAGGCCGAGTAGCGGCATCAGGCCGAGTAGCGGCATCAGGCCGAGTAGCGGCATCAGGCCGAGTAGCGGCATCAGGCCGAGAGTAGAGGCATCAGGCCGAGTAGCGGCATCAGGCCGAGTAGCGGCATCAGGCCGAGTAGCGGCATCAGGCCGAGTAGCGGCATCAGGCCGAGGAGAGGCATCAGCCCGAGGAGAGGCATCAGGCCGAGGAGAGGCATCAGGCCGAGGAGAGGCATCAGGCCGAGGAGAGGCATCAGGCCGAGGAGAGGCATCAGGCCGAGGAGAGGCATCAGGCCGAGGAGAGGCATCAGGCCGAGGAGAGGCATCAGGCCGAGGAGAGGCATCAGGCCGAGGAGAGGCATCAGGCCGAGGAGAGGCATCAGGCCGAGGAGAGGCATCAGGCAGGGAGAGGCATCAGGCCGAGGAGAGGCATCAGGCCGAGGAGAGGCATCCGGCTGAGGAGAGGCTTCAGGCTGAGTCACGGAAGGCAGGTTCACCGGTTTGGATACTGGCAGGATGGTATTGGTTGGAAAGAATTTTTGCTTTTTTCTGGTTTTAACTACTGGGGCACTGCAAGTAAACGCAGGTCTGCAAACGAATGGAGCAGCTGGAGACAGAGAAAAACTGGAGGATGAACAGGAGAGGGAGCAGTTGCTACAGAGGGCTTTTTTACAGGGTTAAAGGCAGGATAGGTGCAGCGAGTGGGAACAGGGTACTGACATGCGGTAGATAGCCAAGTATACTGGGCTGTAACTGGAGGAGCTGGTGGGAATACAGGAGTAGAGTTAGAAGCAGGACTGGGTTTTTGTAAGCTGACTGAGGCTGGGTGCAACAAGTCTGTCCATGTCTGCAGTAGGGGTTGAACAAAGCTGAGCTTACACATAGCCTGTCTGGTCAATGACTGCACTGCGTTTATACAATCTCTTAGTGTCTGTGGTGAACATGTGGAATAACGCTCCAGAAAGTAATCCACATCATCCTCTAATAACCACACCAGGGACTCTACCTGGTCTGCACTAAATGGTGGCAAAAACTCATCCCTGCATTTGGGGGAACCAGATGAAACCAACTCGGCACAAACCTCAATCAAAGCTGCACCTCAGAGAACTCTGTGCCCTGATCTACTAGAACATGAGCGAGCCGTATACATTCTAGTAGTTGATCCCGGGGATACTCCTTCAGAGTTTGATAAGCATACTCCCTGTCATCAAACACTAGCAGAGATAAATACACAACCTCATCCAGATCCATACTTCCCAGCAACAAGCCAAGATGGCTTCCCTGTGCAGCCACTTCTGGTCAGGATTGGCCTTGGTGTAATGTCAGGGCTCCCAGGTGTGACCAGAGGTGTGTGACTGACGCAGGGAACGCAGACTTCAGATATGTGATAAACAATATAATTTATTAACACTAACAATACAAACATAAACGCAGTGCAATACTAAACATAATACAGTGCAAACAAACCAAACCAACCACCCACAGATAACAGTACATACAAGCAAGCGTCGTCAGGCAGGCCGGGTCAATATCAATTGGGCAGGTAGGTACAGGGGGAGCAAGCGGAGATTGGTCGGGGTCACAGGCCAGGTTCAGCAGGTAGCTAGCAGCGTAGTACAGAGGGTCAGGCAGAGGGATGGTCAGGGTCACAAGTCAGGGATCAGAACAGGTAGCAGGCAGCGTAGTACAGAGGGTCAGGCAGAGGGATGGTCAGGGTCACAAGCCAGGGATCAGAACAGGTAGCAGGCAGCGTAGTACAGAGGGTCAGGCAGAGGGATGGTCAGACAAGCCAGGGATCAGAGCAGGGTCAGCAGAGAATCAGAATCAGACAGGAACAGAGAGCAGGAACAGGATACAGGGCCCAAGAGAAACACAACACCACAGAGTCTGCAAGTCTGGCCATCCCTTAAATACCCCAGCATAATCAGTTCCAGGTGTTAGCTGGCTGCAAAGTTGAGTCTCTGATTGCTGGGAGCACCCGCTGGCCAGCCCTGGTACTGCAGATCAAAAGGCAGGTGAGTCCCACCATTGCTGGCTAGTCCATTCCTGACATCAGGTCTTCTAATCCAACATCAGTACCTGACCTGAACCATACTGAACACCTTGGGGATTAGGTCTTCTCATCCAACATCAGTACCTGATCTCAACCCTACGTAACACCTTTTGGGATCGAGTTTTCTTATCCAACATCCATATCTGACCTCAACCCTACTGAACTCCTTTGGGATGATATGGAATGACAATTGCGAACCAGCTCCTGTTATACAACATCAGCACCTGACCTCACAAATGGTCACAAATTCCCAGAAGTTACTCCACATAGAGTGGCCCATTTCATATCAACGGTCATGGATTTGGAATAGGATGTCCAACAAGCTGATACAGGTGTGATAGTCAGGTGTCGGCAGACTTGTATAGTGTCTATGCATACATATCACATCTATACTTAGGAATGTATGCTGTCAGTTAAAACACAACCATCCTGGAACTATTAATATTGTACTTGACACAGCTTTTTTTCACGTGCAAAACTTCCCATTCTCAGTGGTCATGGGACTTGTTCCCCTTTCAAGTATACTTCTAACAACTTACTGTACTGTATATACCGTATAACGTTTTGGGCCACATATGCCTACTTTTTTTTTTTTTTTTTTTCTACTTTAAAAAAGCAACTTTATCGAAATAGAACAACAAGATATAATATATGTAAATAAATAATGTAAAACAAAATGAAGTAAAGAAGAAAAAAAAAAGGGGGGGGATAAATTAACAGTGTACCGCCCTCAAACATAGGGCGCATCAACCCAATCATGAACCAACTGGTACATTGAAAGCAGCGAGTATGTCATGGACATTTTCTCAGATCACACATGAGTCTCAAAATCAGTAATATAAGTGCATGACAGACAGCACAAATATATATCAAAACGTGGGATAGGTCAAGAGAGGAAAGGGGGACAAAATACCATTGTCTTGGGAAAATATGACAAAAAACAAGGGATCATAGAGGGGAGTCCGAAGGATAGTCTCCCAGCAGTCTCCAGCCCATCCAACTATCCAAACTAAGTATTGGGAGAGGCTAGCCATCTATCCCATATTTTTATTATATTTAATTGGGCATCCCCTGTGCATGTAAATAAGTTTCTTATAGGGCAGGGTGGAGTTAACCTCAGTCAACCACATCTGCAGGGTGGGAACGGTTGTCTGCATTCAGTGACGTGCCAGAAGTTTATGTGCACTGAACAAGGTTTCATGGAGAAGAATGGCGAAAAATTTATTCTCGGGTATATCCGGAAAGGAGCTTAATAGGCATACCCTAGGGTTCAGTTGCAGAGGCGACCATGTGGTCGTATAGGAATTTGATGATTTGCAACCAGAAGGTTTGAACGATAGGGCAGGACCATAAAAGGTGAAAGAAGGTTCCAGATGCACCAAGGCAGCTCGGGAATAGGGGCCTTCAATCGGGGCGGTATCTAGCAATTCGAATTGGCGTGAGGTATGCGCTGTATAAGAGATAGAGTTGGGTGATTCTGTCAGAGTCTCGGAGACACCAGTTTAACTTCTCCAGCTCCTCATCCCAGGTCTCCAAATCCAAATGCTCCACGTCATGGTCTCAGCAGGTCCTGGCCGCAGACACCACATCTGAGATTACAGAGGTGCTCAAGGCTATGTACAGGGCAGAGATCAATTTGGTAGGCTTCGAGCCCAATATCACTTCTAGTAGAGACAGGCTGGAGGCGAGGAACCCCTTCAGCAAACTGAGCTCCCAAAACATGACGGAGCTGAAGATGTCTAAATAACATATGGTTGGGGAGATCAAATTCCTCCTTGAGAGTCTGGAACTGCTTAGGTCCAGTAGGCGTAAGCACCTGGTGAAGAAATATTATGCTCCTTGAAGACCGAAGTTCGGCATAGTGAGGAGATCAGAGAGCCCAGGGTTGAGCAACAGGGAGTATGCGAGTGAGGTTTTGAGAGCAAGTTCCCAAATGCGTTTATAATAGTGCAGCATTGTGCCACGAGGTGTCTGTATACCCAACTGACCGCCCTCCCTCAGTACCACCACATATGCCTACTTTAGTTAGCGTAGTGGCTTGCAAAGATCCATAGTTTCTTTTTTTCTTTTGGCTATAGCATAGGGCACCCAAACATCATGTTACTGACGTTCAGCAACACATTTTCACGGGCAATAAAAGGTCCCACAAGCAAATCTAAAGCCAAAGTCAAACTTCGTTGCAGCTTACCTGTCATCAGATGTGGTAGCTAATTACTTTGAGTTTTCAGGCCTTTTCCCTTCATTTTAACCTGGTGATTCTGCAGACAACACACTTCCTGTCCTAGGGTGGCTACGATTATTCCTCCACCATACCTATGGAAGGAGCCATTGTATCCCCCAGACTTCTAACATCTCTGCCTTTGCTCAGCTCCGTTACATGGGGGCTGATGGAACTAGTAGATCACAAAACAAAGATAGGCTTGTTTGTACTTTCTATTAAGCCTCCATAAGTGATACCGTTGAGATGTACAGATATATTGGCCGCCAAAAATTATCGGCCAAAAATAGCGTTATCGGTGTTTTGCCGATAAAAAAAAAAAAAAAAAGTTGCTGCGTCCCCTAGATTTCAATTCACAAACGCCCAGTTGCGTGACGTAGACTTTAATGCGGAAGTAAAGTCCACTTTTTAATTGTAATGATGTCATCGGCCCATGTGCTCTGAAGGGACGACATGCTGTGCTGTCCCTTTGGAGCTCTGTGCTGCTGCCGAGGGCTCCCATGCGCAGCAGTGATGTCAGTGCGGCTCCGACCATTCATACTGCTGGAGCCCACAAACGCGGAAGAAAGACCGGGTGAAGATGACGGCGCTAGGGAGCTGTGACAGCGTGGCACTGGAGGGCTCTGTGTATTGGTAAATCTGTCCTAATGTACTAGCATGACCTAAACCTGCAGGGGGCAGGTTTTGTCTTTTGTCCAGGGGTTTATTACTTCTTCAATGCAAAGTCACGTCCCATAGACTTTAATGCAAAATCTCGTCCCGTAGACGTCAATGCAAAAATGCTCCCTAGTGACTTCAGTGCAAAATTGCATCCCATTAACTTCAATGCAAAATCCTGTCTCAGTGACTTTAATGCAAAAGCACCCCCTATAGTGACTTCAATGCAAAAGCGCCCCCTAGTGACTTCAATTCAAAAGCGCCAGCAACATTAATTAGATTAAAAAAAACTTTTTTTTAAATCTATTTTGGTTCTGGTTTTCTGCCAAATGCTTCCTGAATTTTCGGTTTCACCACTGGAATTTTCATTTCGGTGCACCACTAAAGGATACTACATTTCTGGCAGGATTGGCAGGTATTTTTTGTACTTGCTGAAATTGTTCGCAGCCTAAAAAAAAAAACGGATGCAGCCGCAACGTCTGACAACTGATGCAATATATTACATTTTGGTTTTGGGGTTTAGATACACCTCAATGCATTGCTGCTGTTTGGAATACAGCACTATGTTCTTACAGATAACCTATTCTGGGCTTTGCCTCCTGGAACCGAACCTGGAGCAGAGAAGGATCACAGTTTACTATTTCCAGGCATCGGTTCTAGGTGTACTGGAGCTTCTTCACCACCAGTCTACAGTTGGCCATACACTTAAAGGCTCAGTCCTCTCTGCTGAACAAGAAAAATCCTTTGATTTCCCTATCCATGCCATACGGATGGAGGAATCTCCACTGCCAGCTACTGTATTTTGATAGCCTCAGCTAGAATACTTGAACAGTGACTGCAGTGCCTTGGTTGCAGTCGCTGTTTGGCCGACCCGCCTCCTTTGATTTCTCAAAGTTTGTCAAGTTGAGTGGTGTCAGCAGGTCTGCCACAGGTCGAGTTTTGTCTGTTTCATAGTTGCCTTTGTATTTCGTGGGGGGGGGGGGGGGTTGTATTTTTGTATTGTGGGAGAAAATAGTTGAATAAAACATATTGTTTTATAGATAGAATATATGAAATGTAAAAGTTAATAAAATATTAATAAAAAAAAAAAAAGAAAATGTTCATTCAATCCATACAGTTTGTGCTGAGCGACCGGCGCTGAGACTTACACTTCTGGCTGGAGTATGTCAGTAGATCATAGCCGGGGGCTCGCTCTGCCCCTCCTGCATTCAACAAACCTCTTTTATTCTTTTCACAAAATGCAAGGAGGTTTGTGGTTGGAGGAGGGGAGATCATGACATTCATCCACATCTCCTCCTTTCACAGAACCCCTTGTAACTTGTATTCTGTGAAGGGAATGCAAGATGTTTTTCTAAATGGTGGAGGTGCAGAGCAAGCGACCCCCAATACAATCTGTGTACTGCAGCTGGAAGTGTAGGTTTTAGCACCGGACATTCAGCACTTACTGTACTGTACTGGCTGAATGAAAGTAGGAATTTTCCCCAATGCAGCGGTGGCTGCACACGGGACACACTTCATTAGTGGTCATTTATTTTTTTCCATTTCAACTATCTAATGCACAGGTGTCAAACACAAGGCCCGCAGGCCAAATCCGGCCCTCCTGGCCATTCCATGTGGCCCTTGCACCTCTCCTGCAGGTACCGCTTTGTCTCTGCCCCCATCTTGTCTCAGCAGTCGGCAACAGAGAGGACAATAGAACTCCTCTGCCAAATCCTGCACCTCTCAGTGCAGCTGCAGCACCCCCTCATTTCTGCCTCCCCTGGTCTCAGCATTCAGCAGACTCACTCCTCCTTTGGTCTTCCTCCAGACCCTGCACTTTCTGCTTTCCAGCTCTGCCCCCAAGGTGGGTGCATGGTAATGTTAGGGAGGGTGTGGGATTCTTGACATCTGTAATGGGGGGTGGGGTGCTCTGGACATCTAGTCTTACAGATTCAACCAGCCCTTTGAGGGCAGCCATAATGCTGATACGGCCACGATGAAATGGAGTCTGACTCCCCTGATCTAATGTATAAGGGTGCAAAACTGACTTTGTACTAAAAAATCTTGTCTTTTCTTGTTCTAGGTTACTCCAATGCCGTCCAGAAGTTCGCCCAGACTCTGCAAAGTTTCCAGTTTGACTTCATCGGGGACACACTAACGGACGATGAACTCAATATCGGTAAGAGACTCAAGTGATGAATGCCATTGTGTAGGGGCTCGTTCACACGGGCAGAAGAAAACGCTGCGTTCAGATGCGCTCAGCATATAGTTTTGTGTGCATTTACACAGAGCACTATAGTAATCAAACAGCCCATGTACACAACCGTGTCTACGTGTGAAAATGTGTGCTGCGTTTAGGCGCTCATTAACAAAAAAAAATCAGGATACAGCTGTATCCAGGGTCACACAGATCTGCAGATGTTTTGTGTGTCTGTGTGCATGTACACGGGTAGTCATTCATTTGAATGAAAGAAGACCTTTACGGGCGTCTAGGTGTATAATTTTTGCAGGATCGTCTGCTAGCTCTGCCAGTGTTCTGTACATAAAATACATGTATGCTCCCTAAGGGCTCATTCACACGGGCATATGCGTATTTTCTAGATGAAACACAGGTTCTTGCTGGCAGCGCTAGCAGAAGATCCTGCATAAAACATATGCCTATAGGACTCCCTTTTAGGTGCTTTTAGATGCATTCCGTTCTTCCATCATTTAACCACTTCTAGACCGTGCTATAGCTGAATGATGGTTCAAATGCGGTCATGCAGTTCTGGGAGGGCGTCATATGACATCCGCCCAGAACATGCCCCCAGTGGCATGCATCTGCCGCTCTCTGTGCTCGCTGTGTCCTTTGGACACAGCTGATCACATGACATGGTAAAAGTCCAATCACAGTGGCCTTTTACCATGGGATTAGCCGTGTCCAATCACAGCTGATCACCATGATCATCCTCCCAGAATGTGCCCCCAGTTGCATGCATCCGCCGCTCTCTGTGCTCGCTGTGTCCTTTGGACACAGCTGATCGCATGACACGGGATCAGCTGTGTCCAATCACAGCTGATCACTATGTAAATACACTTGCTGGTTATCGGCAGTACTTTCCTCACGCTGTCACAGCGTGAGGAAAGTACTGCCAGTAAACAGCAACTGTCAAAGGAGACATCTGCACGGATAATTAGGGCACTGATTATTGGTGCTGCCCTAAAAGTGCCCAACGGTGCTGCCCTAAAAGTTGCGTCCATTAGTGCCCAACAGTGCTGCCCATCAGCGCCCAACAGTGCTGCTAGTCAGTGCCACCAGTCAGTGCCCATCATTGCAGCCTGTCAGTGCCTCCTCGTCACTGCCCACCAATGCTGCCCTATCAGTGGCCATCAGTGCTGCCTATCAGTGCAGCCTCATCAACCCACATTAGTGAAGGAGAAAAATCACCTGTTGGCAAAATTTTATAATAGAAACAATGAAGGAAAAAAAAGTTTCTTTTTTTTTTTTTTTCCAAGTTTTCAGTCTTTTTTTAATTTATAGTGCAAAAAATAAAGCACCCAGTGGTGATTAAATATCACCAAAAGAAAGCTCTATTTGTGTGACAAAAACAATAAAAATTTCATATGGGTACAGTGTTGCATGAGCGCGCAATTGTTATTCAAAGTGTGAGAGCGCTGAAAGCTGAAAATTGGCCTGGGCAGGAAGGGGGTAAAAGTGCGCAGTACACAAGGGGTTAAATGAATGACACTGTAAGCGCTTATGCGTTTATGTGCTTTTTTTGCTAGTACGCCTGTAAAATCTGCAGATCTCTACAGCCCTGCCTGCAGCTGTGTCCTTCTTCTTTTTTTTTTTTTTTTTTTTTTTTTTTCAGGTAGGTGCAGCTGTGTCTATGGACTCATTGATTACTATAGTCCTGCGTTCAGATTCGCACAAAGCTATACGCTGTGCACATGTAAACACATTGTTTTTTTGTCTGCCTGTGTGACTGAGCCTTTAGGGCCTCGTGCACACTGGGCTGCTCATACAGGTGCTTGGCTCTTTTTTTTTTTTTTTTTTTTCAGCCCATAGAAGCTCTGTGTTGGCCTATGTGTCTATGCACACATGGGCATTTACAGGCGTATTTCGGAGAAGCATTTTACAGGCTGAGAGAAAAAAACCCATCACAAGCGCATTTTTGAGAGGAGCATTTTGGTAGAAAAAAAAAATGCTTGATGCGCATCAACGCGGCATTTGGGCGCATTCAGCTTTTAGGTGTGTTCAGTGTTTTTAAGTGTAAATTGATTATAGTGAAAAATGAGCATAAGGAAATGTTTTGGAAAAAAAAAAGCTTCTAAACCGCAGAAATGTGTGTACAATACAAGCCATTTTTTCTTTTGTTTTGTTTGCTTTTTTTGTTTTGTTTTTTCTTTTTTTTTTTTTTTTTTTCTGCCAGAGGATCTGGCATTTTTTTTTAGTTGCCTAGTCTGCATAGAGTAAATGTGATCCCATCGTAGTAAAATTTCCTGCCATCAGTTGGAGTTCTAGCCCTGCGTCCTGAGCTGCAATTCAGATTTTTACATATGGCAATTATTACATGGAAATCTTCCAAAAGTCCAACTATGGGAAATATTGCTCCAAAAATGACAGAGCTTCACAACAGAGGCACACCGTACTGAGCATGCATCTTCTGCAGTACTCCTTTTAAATCAAATGTAACATTTCGAGGATAGTCTCTCTTGTAATTACTGTTTGTGATTGAAACAAAATGTGCATAATAACACATTTAACATAACATATCCCGAAACGCTGGAGAGGATTTGGAACCCCACCTATTTCAATCTAAACATGGAGGTCTGAGTATTACATGGCGGAGTCATCTCCCCAGATTACCCCAAGCTGCCCCACCTTTCTGTACTGTACGTGTCAATCAGTTTGCTGTGTACTCGCAGCGGAACAATTTTTTTTTTTTTTTTTTTTACAGCTAAACTCCAGGAAAAAAGTAAAAATTGTTTCTCGGCCTTTAGGCTAAGATCAAGTGTAGTATCTGCTCCTGCCAGTGTCCAGTAGGGGCGCACGGATGTCATTCTAGGCCTCAAGGCTGGGATGGATGGCTGCATAGTATTGATGTTGGTATGATGGAAGTCAAGAGGGATCTTCCCCCAAACTAAGCATGCACCATGTAAGCTGGGGGTCGGAAGTATTCCCCTGGTGTAGAAGGTTCCGAGGGGACCGGTGCCTCCTGATTTGAACTGTACTACTTGGTCTGGCTGAGGACTGGCAGGGCACAGTGCCCACAGTGTCAAATGCCCCCTGGGAGTGCCCCCCCTCGGGGTTGCCAAAGTAGCACTATGGATTGTGACCCTACTGGTGTGACCAAGCACTAGGCCATGACTAGAGATGGGAAGGGCTTGAAAAAAATTGGAAAGAAGGTTTTGTTTTTGTTTTTTTGTTTTTTTTTTTCCCAGAAAATGTAAAAAAATTTGTGAATTTTGTTCTTTTACAATGCTAAATAATATATCCATGACATGGTATTCAAACTATATAACATGAAGACTTTACAGTGTTTCTAAACCCACAACAGTAAAATCAGTCTGTATATGCAGTAAAGCAGGGCTTGAAAAAGCCGCTCGCCAAATGCGAGGAGAAATTCCTCTGTGGTGAGCGGCGGCGAGCACAGATGAAGAAGCATGGAGTGACTGCACACGCTCTCCAAGCCTCATTGTGAAGCCGAGTTCTAGTCAGGGGCGGACTGACAACTAATGGGGCCCCCGGGCAATAGGGGTTCATGGGGCTCCTGTGTCCTTGCCCAAACTCAAAAAGCCTATGAAAAAGGTACCAGGGGCATCTCATGGGGCCCCCTACTGACCCCGGGCCCTCGGGCAGTGCCCGAGTTTCCAAATGGTCAGACCGCCCCTGGTTGCAGTTTACAACTTCCGGTTTCTGCGGCATTGCCATTACAGTGGCAGCGCCGCTGAGGGGGACACGTGCGGGAGAAGTCTGCTCTCCTACGCTGAGAGGAGACACCCTCTCCACCGCCTTGGGGGACACGAGGCCCGTTCTCCACCGCCTTGGGGACACGAGGCCCGTTCTCCACCGCCTTGGGGGACACGAGGCCCGCTCTCCACCGCCTTGGGGGACACGAGGCCCGCTCTCCACCGCCTTGGGGGACACGAGGCCCGCTCTCCACCGCCTTGGGGGACACGAGGCCCGCTCTCCACCGCCTTGGGGGACACGAGGCCCGCTCTCCACCGCCTTGGGGGACACGAGGCCCGCTCTCCACCGCCTTGGGGGACACGAGTAAGGTTTGTGTCTGGCTAGTAGGTCTGGACTCGAAATTTTAACCCCTGCAGTAAAGCATGCTTGTTATACTCACTGTGGAACCTAAGCTGTTAATATTCTGCATTGTGTAAAAAGGGCTTTTTGATCCTGTCTTCTCTGATACTCCCCTTCTACTGTCCCCAATCCATCTGCTGATAGATCAGAGCCTTGAAAGCAAGCTACACGTGCTCTGATGTGTTTTGTGTGTATTGCTACAGAGGTGTTTTTTTTTTTTTTTTTTTTTTTTGAGGGTGCATGTGATCAACACAGGGCCAATCAGCACTGTCAGGGGTTATGCAGTCTCATAGGGCAGTCAGAGATTGAAAACTCCTCCTACAAAATTAACAAGTGCTTGGCTGGACACTGATAGAAGTCACAAGACTGCTATATACTGCTGATGAGAAAAGGTATTTAGCAGTTTAAATGTTCTACAATAATTGCATTTCCATGTTCTGTGTACTGTGGGAGACCAGATATAGCGAATGTAGGGTCATGGGTTTAGTAACACTTTAATGATTTCTGAGACTTGATGTAAAGTCTTAAATTATTGCAAGTTCTCTCAGCTGAAGACGAGGCAAATTTTGGAATACAATTCAAGTAACACTGCACTTGTCAATGCAGTTTTCAAACGAGAAATATGGATATCTTCCACTAGGGGGCACTGCAGGGAAAAGGCTCCAGTTTAGTTTGCATGTGGTTTCCATCTTGTACAGTTGGGTGATTGTTGGGGTACAGCAGATGATAGTTTCTGCCCTCTCAGTCCTTAATTGACAGGGAAGAGAGTACATTTGTCTGACAAATTAGTTTATCTTTAAATAATTCCTATGAATGTTCTCTGTCATCACAGCATAATGTTTACCTACACTCTGCTCAGTAAATTTTTTTTCTTTTCCTCTCAGTAA